TTGCTCTATGAATCTTTTAACTTTTCTGTATGTTTGTTTGGATATTTTTATAATAAAATACCAGAAAAAAAATCTTGCTTTCTCCAGAAATAAGATGTTAAAAGGATTTGAGTAGAAGTCATTTGTAATGGTTGAAAGAAAACTGGCAGCTTTTAAACTCTCAGCTACGCAAAAAACAGCACACACTTCCCCTATCTCTGAAAACAGACCCTCCCCATCCCCACTAGAAGCAAATCACAACTGACCTTTTTTCTTTTCCTTTGCTTGGTTTTAGCTGAGTCTTGTCCAGTACTCCCATTCCCTAGGGATCCTGATGTCGGTTTTCCTGAGTGCTGGGATCCACATGATGGAGCTGTTGGTGTAGGAGGAGGTGTGTTCTCGGGGGAGTCTGGACTGGACTTCACACAAGAACCCTGCCCAAAGAGATGTGGCTTTGAAATCAAGTGATCAGGCCTCTGTTAACATTACATTTTGTTCAATGTGTCATGAATTTAGTACTCCTTGAAACTTACAAATGTAAAAATAATTTATTCTTCTCTAATCTACAGAAATGATGCCCCTATCTGCCCTCGAGGGTCTGACTATGTTAATTTCTAATATCCTCTCATGTAAATAGAAGTCAGAATTCTTCATATATAGCTTTTAGGAATTCCGCTGATTTTGTTGGATATAGACATTGTTGTGTTCGAGCCCACTGTTGAAGCCACTGTGTCAATCCTTCTCGTTGAGAATCTTCCTCTTTTTTTGCCCTCTAATTTACATGTCTCAAAAGGAACCCTAAAAATCCCTTTCCAAACTAGATGCCTTTTGGGATATAATTTGTGTCAGTGGTGATCAGCATTTTTCCAGTAACTCAAACTCAAAGCCTTATGGTTAGGGCAGTTTCCTCCAGCTCTTCTCACAAATAGTTTATTCCTTCCTTGCTAATATCCCTCACACCATTCTGGTTTCTCTGGCCATTACTGTAAGTCTGTTCTCTCTTCAATGTGAATGTACTTCAAATATTTGGACACTGTTATATTTCATAATCTCTTCTCTTCTATAGGTCAAATCCTCCAAGTTCCTTTAATCACTAATTATACACATATTTTCAGGTCCTTTCACCTCCTTGGTTACTCTCCTTTAGACATGCTCCACTGTGTCAATGTCTATCCTATAAAATGGTGACTAAAAACTAAATTAAAAAGAAAAAATTTCTTTAACAGTCGCATCACAATATTGGTTCCTAAGAAATTAATAGGCAAATAAAAATCTCTAGGTCTTTTTCATGTATGCTATTATTGACCTGAGGAGCCCTGGTGGCAGAGTGATTAAACGCTTGGCTGTGAACTGAAAGGTCAGTGGTTTGAATCCACCAGCTACTCCCCCGGAGAGACATGGCAGTCTGTTTCCATTAAGATTTATACCCTTGGAAACCCTATGGAGCAGTTCTACTCTGTCCCATTGGGGCATTATGAGTCAGAATTGACTCTATGGCAGTGAGTTTGGTTATGGGTTATGTTTTCCCCAACCTATCAACTATCAGTTATACTAATCATAGTATTATTGGCTTGTCCACCATTCTCTATAATGTGTAAAAAAAAAATTACGTCAAATATTGCAAAATACCTTGCTGGAATTCAGTTAATGGTTTCAAAAGTTTTCCTTGATTTTAGAATTGACTTGATGGCAGTGGGTTGGTTGTTTGGTTGCTTGCCTAGAAATCATATCAAACAAGAGGAAATGAGGCTAATCTGACATGGTCTGTTTTTAGGAGAATAAGATAACAAGTTTGTTGTTTCTCGTGTATAAAAAAATTTTTTAAAATCTAGAAAATTAACTTGATTTAATATTACACTTTCTAGTCTAGTATGAGGAACCCAGCTGTAACTAGCTCAGTCCCAGTTTATGCTCAAGAATGATATTTGTTAAAATACAGTGCATTTTGTATTAATTTCATGCCTTTAGTTTGGTGTTTCCTTCTACTGTATGTAGTTCCATCACTTGGATCTTCTTAAAACATCCTTTTGAACTCATCTTCAGCCAGGAAACCTTCAATTGGTTCTTAATAAGGAGGAGTCTAAGTCTATCCACAATTTGAACCTTCATTTTCTAATCTAACTTCCTCCTCCCCCTGTTAAATGAACACTTTGCTTGAATATTTTCATCACAGTTCTTCTTCAGTATAATTGTATTTATGCTGCCTCTGCAGCCTACAGCAATGTCTTTACTCCCAGCTGCTTATCAAAATTCTACCCTTCCTTTAATACACAGTGTAAGTCCCACTTCCTTGCTGATGTCCTATTTGACTGTAACTAAGGAGCTCTGGTAGTATAGTGCCTAAGTCACTTGACTGCTAACCAGAAGGCTGGCGGTTCAAACCCATCAGCCACTCTTTGGAAGGAAGGTTGGGCAATCTACTTCCGTAGTAATACTGCCTCAGAAACCCAAGGAGGGGTCGCTATGAGTCAGGTCTGACTCGACGGCACATGACACACAACACAACACAAGGAGTATTTTTACCTCTGCACTTTTTGTCTGCACCACTCATTTGGAAATTAGCATTTGCTATCTTGAATGGTTTATTTGTTTCTTATTTATTTTATAAAATGTACTTTCTCTCTGAATACAGTTTCCAAAGCTCCCCTATACATTCTTAAAGCAGACCCTTGATGATATTAGTTGTTGGTTTGTGATGTTGATGGGTACAGTTCCTACTTCAGAGCAGCCACTTCTCTGTGTCTTATCAGCCAGAGAAAGGCAGGAAGGAAGACTTCCAGTCTCTGTAAACGCTTGTAGGGAAGGAAGAGGGTCTGCCAGGCGAGGGAAAAACTTGAGGCCTACACAACATACTAAATCAGAATGCTCTCTGATACCGATACTCCCACCTCCAAGAGAGCCCAGGAAATCCAGCATTCACAGAGCATTTTTCTCAACTTCTGGGTAGCTGGGAACAGCAGCTGTGGTTGCTGAACAGCTCCCCAGGGCATCTTGGCCACCCTGAAGAGCCAAGAGGGGAAAAATAAAGGGTTTTGTTAACTATGCAAGCAAGTGCTTGAATGTTAAGGGAAAACTAGGCTTGCTATGTTCACTGTAAATTTCTTCAATTAGAAATGTTATAACAAATTTGTCTGATGTTAATCAAAAGCATACTTATACATATATTCATAAAGTGAACATACATCAAAGACATTTTAAAGGGTGTTTTTTGACATCATAATTTGGGTTTTTAACATAGAAAAAACAAATACTGTTTAATCAACTGGGGAAGCTTTAGGCAATTTTCAAGTATGTTGACTGATAATGATGTATATGACCTTTTCCAAGGAAAAAAAATGGATTTTTAATGGGCATAAATATTTTAATCCCTACTTGGATTCTGACTAATCTGATTCTGCAAAGGGCATAAAAAGATATTAAACTGACATTTGTAGTAAGATGATATACAGGCTTATCTCTTTATCTGTTTTCTAAGTACCCTAGAGCAGACATACTTAAACTTGGGTTCATAGGGTTTAAAGACCTCTTAAAAAAAAACAGAAAACTAAACTCAATGTAGTCAAGTTGGATCCGACTCATAGTGACCCCTTCTTGGGTTTCCAAGGTGGTATCACTACGTAAGTAGATCGCCCTATCTTCCTTCCGAGAAGTGGCTGGTATGTTTGAACCGCCAGCCTTCTGGTTAGCAGTCAAATGCCTTAGGTACTATACCACCACAGTTCCCAAAGACCTCTTAGATCCATAAAACAGCTTCAGAGGGTCTCTGAACACCCTAAAATTATTTGTAAAATTTGTCAATGTGTTTATGGAGTAAAGTTTTATAGCTTTCATCATAGTCCTAAAGGGGTCAGTGACCTAAAAAATGGTTACAACTATTTCTTACAGACTGTTTAAGCCACCATCCTTACCTACAGGTATTAACAAGGAGTGGATATTCATGATAAGGTATAGACATAAAACAGGTCTTAGTCAGTCAGGTTATACATTTCACCTAACTGGATCAACAGCTTACTTTACAATTACATACGTAGATATTAATCTAACCTTGCTGTCTTCCTTCTCTAGGGTTATTAGATTGAATTATACGAAATGATTATTTTTGTTAGTAAAAGTGGTCATGCATTAGCAACATACTATATTCATCATATTATATTGCATTTCTGATTTTTAGGCACATTGATTACAGAGAGCATTTTTTATGCTGAAAGTGGTACACTGGTATTATAAAAAACAAATAAACCCATCGCTGTCAAGTCGACTCTAATTCACAGCGACCCTACAGGATCAAAGTAGAGCTGTCCCAAAGGTTTCAAAGGCTGTAATCGTTAATGGAGCAGAGTGCAACATTTTTCTCCCCGAGAGAGGCTACTAGGTTCGAACCGCTGGCCTTTTGCTTAGCAGCCGAGTGCTTAACCGTGGTACCACTAGGGTTCTTTACAGTTATTACACAAAGTCTTAAAGTTGGAAAGAAGACTTTATAGTGCCCACAGGTAGGGATTTCAGCAGCATAAACCAGATCAAAAAAGATGTGATCGTCACATGATAAAGCCAATCTAAAAACTGAGGACAAATGGAGCCATGTTCCTCTAAATCACTTTTAGAAATGAACCAGTAACTAAAATTTAAAATTATCAATAAATGTCAGGAATTATCATCACATGAATGATAATAATAATCCTTTCATATTTTGAGGCAAAAAGAAATAAATTATGTTTCCTAACATTATTATATTCTAAGTTACTGTTTCTAATGGAAATGAGAAATGTTCTGTAACTATTCATTGAGGGACATGGTAAATGAGGCAAGGAAAAAGGGAAAAAACTCAATTCATTAAATGGATCGTCAGGGCCTGGTACACACTAGATATTCAATTAATATTTGTGGAATGTCGAATTTATTAAGATTCTTTGACTAAAGTTTACACATTCCAATATAATCTTATTTTTAAAGTATTAATGAATACCAGACACGTGAAAAGATCTACAGATGTGTCAAAGAAGACATATTTTAGTGAGACTTACCTCAGCAGAGCTGTGATACTGAATGAAGGTTGCAGAAATGGCATGGCTGAAGGGGTCCCCTGCCTTGGTCACCATGTCCTGCCTCACAAGAAGAGCCAGATCCACTAACTAGAAGATCACAGTAATGAAAATAAAGTTACATAGCTGGCAATAATCATGACTGCCACTGAAGTGGCAAAAGTAAAAGGAACACATTCCAAATGTTATTGATAATAGTGCCTGCCTAAAAAAATCTGTATTGTGGATTGACCTGTGCTAGGTTGTGCACATCATATAAATGATACACAGTCTGACTTTCTAGGGAAATGGTTCTCAAACTTTACTTCCATAATCACCAGAGGACCATTTTTAAAATATAGATTTCTGGGTTCTTGGATGGCCTACAAATTCTAATTCGGTAGGTGTGCTCTGGGGTATAGATTAAGAACTTGTATTTTAAACAAAAGCCATGGAGATGCTGATGTTTGTGGTCTTAGGACTCTGCTTTAAGAAAACCTGCTTGTGAGCAGTGATTCCAGATACAGGTTTGGGTAAGCACTTGGGGGATCTCATGGGAGCTCTGGCAGCGCAGTGCCTAAGCACTTGACTGCTAAACCAGAAGGCTGATGATTCAAACCCACCAGCCACTCCTTGGAAGGAAAGCTGGACAATCTGCTTCCACAGTGATACTGCCTTGGAAACCCAAGGAGGGGTTGTTATGAGTTGGGTCTGACTCGACAGCACGTAACAACAACAATAACAATGGGAGATTTTATCTAGAAAAGTATTTTTGAAAGTTGAAAAATAATCCCTAACTAAGGCAATGTGGACCTGAAGTTCAATGTTAAGAAGCATATGGGCTGCTGGTTGTGGTTAGGATAAAGTTGCAGCACACAGTCACTTTTATCCTAACACCCACCAAAGCTGAGAATGCAGAGAAACATAATCGAACTAAATTTCAGAAAATGGTAAGACTGTCAGAGGGGAAATCCCATGGCTGTTCTCATTTCTGGTACAGCGGCAGGCAGAAGAAGAATTGGTCACAGATAGGGAAAAGGAGAAACCAGCCAAACTTTTAATGGCCATGTACGGCCTGATATGACAGAAAGAATTCATACCTGTGCCACAGTTTCATATGCTAAGTATGATAAAATTTCCATAGCAACAACATTTGGTTTTATCTCCATACTGCTGCAGTCCAACCAGTCTCGGAATTTGGAGGCCTTTTTGGCTAGCCATTAAAAAAAAAAAAAGTGTAGAAAATTTAATTTTTAAAGAAAAAGATAAATGTTTCCTGAAAATTGAATATGAAAAGCAATGCATATGAAATGTAATATTTTCAAAGTTTTATTAACTGCTAAATAGTCTAGTCCTAACAAATTCAAGTTTTAATCCTCAGTTGAAAAGCAGTTCAATGGTTGCTTTCAAGAAAATGCATTTGGGATGTATCTATGCTACATAATATTGTTTACTAAACCATTTAATGTTCAGCACTCTTACACTGCTTACAGGTGGCTCTAGCTTAGAAGGGTTATTTTGCTTGATACAACTTTTATTCTTGTGGAAAGAGTATAGCAAGACAGAACCTGTGATGGCAAAAGGAGCATACAGAAATTGCATTCCCAAGACCTTTCAAAATGGGCCTATAACTAGAATAGGCTCAAAGTGGTAATTTGGAATTAAGTAAAATAAAGCTAGATCTGGTAGCATAGTGCCTAAGGCACTTGACTGCTAACCAGAAGGCTGGCGGTTCAAACCCACCAGCCACTCCTCGGAAGGAAGGTTGGGCAATCCTACTTCCATAGTGATACTGCCTCGGAAACCCAAGGAGCGGTCGCTATGAGTCAGGGGCGACTCGACGGCAAATAACAACAGCAACAACAAAGCTAGATCTGATCTGATCTAAGTGTACAGTTAAATTTTCCTGATTGCAAAGATGTCTAAATTCTTAGTCTGACTCTCAAAACCATCCAAATGGATTCCAACTTGCCTTTCAAATTGAATCGCCCATTAACCCAACCAAAACCAAATCCATTGCAGTTGAGTTGATTCCAAGTGATGGTGATCCTATAGGACAGAGCAGAACTATTTCATAGATTCCCAAGGCTATAAAGTTTTTTTTTTACTCCCCATTTCATAGACATACCTACTAGTTCAGCCTGTCCACCCATCTGTCCACCCCCAAGGCTGTCAATTTTTATGGAGGCAGACTGCCCCATCTTTCTCCGATGGAGCAGTTCGTCGGTTTGAATCACCAACATTTTGGTTAGCAGTTGAGTGCTTAACCACTGCCCCACCAGGGGTCATAAACTGCTCATTACTCCCTTATTAAACTGCCACTTGGCCTTGAGTACAGTCCCCTCTGTGTTCACCCTGGCCCCTTTCCCTCCATGGAATGCTCTCCTGTCACTCATCTCCATTTATATGAATCTCAACCATACAGGCCAAAGGGCAATATCTCCACTTTCAGCATTTATTGAATATTTACATCATCAGGTATCTTTCCATTATGTTTAAATTTCTCAAACCATATAATTCTCTGTGGGCAAAGATCCTGCCTTATGTATCTCTGCATACCAAACAGAACGAAGCACACATGGAACCAAACATCTACGAAGCCTTCAATTAAATATCTCTAAACTGTCATAGCACTAAGCAGAGACTAATTTAATAGAGGGCCTTTATTAGATATTACTAATTTAACTAGTAACCTACAAGGAAAAGATTGATAGCAAAGATTTTATTGAATGTGTAAGATAATAATCTTTTTGTTTTAAAATTCACCAATTATTCTTTAGATTAATCCGGTCCCACAGGTCTATAAAACACTGAACAGTAACTCAAACCATGATGTTTTGATCCACATAGATACAGTCTTCATGGATTCCACATACAGAAAAGTGCTCTTTAAAATAAATCAGAGAAGACATTAAGTTCTGCTATCGAAGCACGTATCCAAAACTGTCAAATGTGGCAGAATTATGATAATCCCCCTTAAAGCTATCTCCCTAAAGTAACTAATCTTCCAAATAGTCTTTGGCATGCAACATTCCATCTAACTAGTAAGCTGCAATAGCTCACAAACACTTGTTTAACATCTGTGGAATACTTCTGAAGTTAAAGTTAACAGGCCAGCAATTTGGCAAGATCAATAAAATGCACCTTATTCACTTCTCCCTTTGACAGATTGCTAGGAACACGGAGACAGAGATTTTGTGACTATTCTCTAAACTATATACTTTAAAAGTATTCATTGCAGCATTTGCAAAAGCAAAAAGGTGGAAACCCAAGTGCCCACCAACAGATAAATGGATAAACAAAATGTGGTGTATATGCACAATGAAAATGTACAATTTCCATAAAGAGAAATGAAGTTCTGGTACATGCTACAACATGAAAGCCTTGAAAGCATTATGCTAAGTGAAATAAGTCAGGCATGAAAGGAAAATATTGTATGCTCTCACTTATGAAATATTTAGAATAGGCAAATGCATAGGGATAAAAGTTTATTAGTGGTTACCAAAGACTGGAGGAGGGAAAAATGGGATGATGAAAAAACTTTTGGAAAAGATCATGGTGATAGTTGTACAACATGATGAATGTAATCTATGTCACTGAATTGTACAACTAAAAATGTTGTAAATTTTAAATGGCAAATTTGAAATTTAAAAATGGCAAATTTCTTGTTTTATATTTTTACCACAATGATTTTTTTTTGTTCGTTAAATTAAAAGTGATATAAAGGATGATGACTAATATTAAGCCAGAACTATCTATCTAAGCAAGATAATTAGTAGCTTCATCATTAGATAGTAAGTGCTGAGAATGCAGAGACCAGGACCACGTATCCACCATTGTATTCCCAGCATCTAGAATACTGCTTAGCATTAAAAAAACTACCAGTAGCGATTTCTAGAAGAAATGAATAAATGAATGGATGAAAAATATTTTTTATTAAAAAGGTCAAGTTCATATTTCTCTATGTATTAAAAAAGATGCATAGAGGCCCCTTAAAGCACTTGGATTTCTGCCATTCCAGGAACAGGTGAAACTAATTTCCTCCCCTGTCACCAGGAGAAGGACAGATTGACCCTTCAGGACTTTGTTGGTTCTAGCAAAAGAGGCACAAATAGCCCTAGTCATGACAGTTTGTTTCCATCATGAGATGAGGAAGCTTTAGAATGAACTGATTTCTTCTCTTTCTACTTCCCAATTCATTAGGACAAAAGGTAATTTGGAAATTAGCCAGCAATTTAAACAGAAGCCTAAACAACAGCCAAAATATCCTAGAATTACCATTTTGACACTATCTAGGTTTTAGACTATGCTGGATTAAAACAACTTTACACAAAATTTAACACAGAACTTAAGGTTTAGTTGATGCTCATGTACTGTTTATCTCTCTCATCAATTATCACAACCAAAATTTAAGTTCCTCTTAACATTTCATTCTTTCATTCTTGAATACTATTTCATGATTTCTACCCTGTCCCTATTCATCAGTCTTTCCAAACGTGATCTTTCCTTCAGTGCCCTCTGAAATAATCATTTTACCCTGACAGAATTCTTTAATTTCACATATTCAAAACCACTGTTCTCTGACTTAATTTAAAATATTTTCCCTCAGATAACAGGGCTTTCCATGCAACCTTTTATAGAGAGGTCTCTTATTCCCTTCCTTCTTTATATATTTACTGAGCAGCTACTGTTTGCCAGCCTGTGGATTTTCTATCCTCCATCTACCTGAGGGCCTGGAAGCAATCACTTTGTTTCAATTTCTCTAACAGGAAAAATACAGAACAACAAATAGACTGACAGCAGACTTCTTACTAACAAGAGATGCTGATAGATAATGTTTCCATAAATAACTTTTACTAATAAATAACAATCAGTTGACAATTTCCTACCCAGCTAAACTATCATGCAAGTACGAAGGCAAAATATTAGTGCTTTAAACTCTTAAACACCCTAAGAAAAAGAAAATTAAGCTAAGAGGGAAAGCATAGATACATAATGGCTTAAAAAAGTTTCAATTAGGGATACATATTTTAAAATTATAGCTAAAATAATAGAAAGAGAATATATGATATCCAAGCTGGTAAAAGAAAAATGTAATAATGAAAACGTAATAGGAAGTAAAAGAGGAAAAAACAAACAGAAAAGCAGAGTAAATTTAAAATACAAAATACGACAGTATATATAAGCCCAAATGTATCAGTAACTTAATACATATAAATTGACTGAATTCATCAATGAAAATATCAGTCAGATTAATTAAAAAGAAAACCTAGATATCAGTTGTTTACAGAAGCCTATTATATATGTATAATATAAAAAGATAAAGCAAAGGGTTGGAAAAGATTACCAGATAAATTCTAACTAAATGAAAGCTAGTGAATCAATATTAACATGAGATTAAAAAGACTTTGAGGGAAATGACCATCTGATTTATATAAAATAAAATAATGGTGAATTTGATCAGTGTCTAGTTGTACAGTTTACTCTCAGCCTATAAAGTTATGAGATGCTACTTGAAAATGTATCAGTGATTACAATTATTGAATGCTATGAGCAAATATTTAAGAAGACACATATGGCAGGGTCACAATTCCTGTATCTTGGTTTCTCAGAAAATAGAAGAAAGCAAAGAGCCTAACACCAGTGTGGGAATTATTTCTAAATTTGCTGACCCACTTGGGTTATAGCATCCCTAACCACAGTATTTTGGAATATAAAACAGATTCTCTCACTAAGGTTTCATAATGAATCACCTATGGGTACCATATAAACCAATATTTTTAAAAGACCAAATCCTTCTTATTAAAAAAAAAAAGCATAATATACTGTTTATACCACCATTATTTAGAAAGGGAAATTGTTCATATTTAACCTACTACAGTTCATTATTGAGTTAAGTACAGAATATGAAGAGTTACTAAAAACCTGCTTTTCAAACAAAAGACAGGAGACTTTAATGACTCAGTTATCATGTGAAAGACACTTCTGTTCCTCTAAGTGGATTAACTTTAAAATATAACTTGAAAAAATAGCTCAATAACACTAACATTACTTTATAAACTAGAAATTTATACTTCTAAAAGACTTGAATGCCATTTTTAAACCTAAAAATTACAATACAAAAACCTCTGATTTGCTAAAATTGCCATGATCTGGCATTAAGTAAATGAAGTGTCATTTACTTAATGCTTCACAGATGTATGATGCCAAATTGTTAGTCAGATTGGAAAGTATATTTAGTCAGAAAAAAAATCTTCCAAAACATGTTTTCCCATATTTTACTGACATTTACATGGGACACTATTTGAAATGTGTCATTTATTTGCACTTTATGATCTATGAATGAAGCTCTCATTTTCTTTTTCCAAATCAAATGCGTTGTTATTGTGACCACATAATGGCTTTTCAGTTAAAGACACCATTGTCTGTGTAATTCCTCAGATCAGGGTCATGTGCTACTTTGCCATATTTTTAACTGGACTTTTCATCACATTCTCTCTTTGACCTTTACCCTGAGAGTTTTAGTCATCACTGAACCGTTGCTGTAAGGATGTTTCACTACACAATCTAGCCCACTATTTATCAAGGGTCTTTATGTACTTTTAGTAAACTGCTATGCAGTGTTGGGACAGGACTAATTTGACCACTATGTTACTAATGTTACAAGAGCGTGGGCTGATGAATATGGCTAACATTGTACGCCACACAGCAGGAGGTTACAGACAAAAATGGAAGTGACTACTGATATGCTCCTTTGTGTTCAGATGTGTATGCATGCATAACAGGGAAATTAATTAATATTGTGTGCTTTTAAATGTCATGACTGTACAATTAACAGGCCATTTGGGTCAAGTGTAGCTAGTGTAAATATGACTAAGAAAATGGAAAATAAATTATAATGGGAATATTAAACAAAATTGACTTTCCTGACTAAAAGCAATGTGAATGATTAACATGACTCTGTAAGTATTACTATCCTTTATAACCTCTGACAGTATTAATTACAAAACAGTTGTTGTTGTTATGTGCCGTTGAGTCGGACCAGACTCATAGCGACCCCTCCTTGGGTTTCCGAGGCAGTATCACTACGGAAGTAGATTGCCCAGCCTTCCTTCCGAGAGTGGCTGGTGGGTTTGAACCACCAGCCTTCTGGTTTGCAGTCAAGTGCCTTAGGCACTATGCTACCAGAGCTCCTTAAAAAAACAGTAGAGAGGAGTAAAATTTTTCATAGACTCTCTCTGCAATGCAGAGGTTGTGAACAATGCATATATTAAATCCACCAATTTCTAAGGAACAGAGATCATGCCATATGTTAGTACATCTATAACACATAATCTTTTATGCATATAATGAACTGTAAGTTCAATGCTTACTTACAGAAACTTAACTGCCGACTCTCACAAAATTCTGCATATTGAGCTGAATCCATCATTCGAGTTTGTCTTTCTGCTCTCTAATGGATAAAAAGGAAAAGACTCATTTTTAAAATAAGTAGAGAATTACATGTTTTCAGAGATAAACTTAGAATTAAAGTACCACTTTCTTTTCCTTACTCTAAGTGAATAGTTTAGTACATCATAAATACCATCATACATAAAGTCATAGTAAGTAACAGTGGATGTGAAGCTTGCTTCTTTTCTTTAAGATACCTTTTCTGCCCCTCTGTTATTGTTCCAAACTGAACCAAACTCACTGTCATTGAGTCGATTCTGATTCATAGCGACCCCCATAGTGTTTCTATGGCTGTAAATCTTCCCAGAAGCAGACTGCTTCAACTTCCTTCCATGGACCAGCTGAAGAGTTCGAACCACCAACCTTTTGGTTAGCAGCCAACTGCCTTAACCACTGCATCACCAGAGTCTGTTATTGTTACTACAGTAAAAAAGAAAACTAAAGAACTTTAGTACTTAGCTTATATACTTTTGAAATTACTTACCTGTACCATCCTTTCAAAGAAAAAGAAAACTGTGAAGGGACAATAAACTAAACAGAAAAATTGTTATTAGCTATTATTATCCATCTGGCTTAAAGCTGGTATCAATGCTCAAACGAGAGTCAGTCAATAGAATCCATATATTTCCCCTCAGTTAGAATGTGGAATCAGAGTTAATAGATTCAAATTTTAAATTGAAAAGAAAATAAAAAGGTAAACACAACACAAATCCTTTAATCTGAGTCCAGGTATGATTCACAGTTTGGTATAGTTTCATTCGTGGGTTTTTTGATTCAGTATAGCAGATGTTTGCTGCCTCATTGTCCCACAAGAGGTAGGATAATTATAATTTATCCATAGTTTGGTGGGAAAGAATACAACCGCTTCCGCTTCCTTGGCAAGGGAGATATTTTGAAATGAGACAGGCTGGTACTTCTTGGAACGAAGTTCTGGTCAGTAAAGGGAAAAAAATCTCTGAGATTTTATTTTTTTTCTGCTTTACAAGGACTTTCAACAAGTTATCTTTATCATGGTTAATGGAGCACATAAGTACCACTTTTTCTCATGTCTGTGGATGTTTTTTGTATATTTTTAAACTGAGATTCTTCTTTTTTTTGGGTTTGATTTAGGTGAATGGTCAATGATATATCAATTGATGCAATGAATAGTGGTGCATTAGTTGCAGATCAATACAGAAAAGACAGATGGGATGGTAAGAGTTAAAAGAAAAATTAATTAACTATTGCAGTGGGTAAGGCATTTGACTGCTAACCAGAAGGTTGGTAGTTCAAACCCACCAGCCACTCCGTGGAAGAAAGATGGGGTAATCTACTTTGGTAAAGATTTATAGCCTCAGAAATCCAAGAGGGGTCATTATGTATTGGAATCCATTCAATAGCAGTGAGCTTTTGAGTGGTTCCTTCTAAGACCCCTATTTTTTTTTTTTTCTTTCTTCTTCCTTTCTTCCAACTCTTCCTCCTCTTCTTTCTCTCCCTCCTTTCTTCCCTTCCTTTCCTCCCACAGAAACATACTCACAGGCAGGAAGAAACATACCCAGACTTCTCTTGCTTGAACCCCTAGGTTCAAGTGGCCTTTTCTGAGCATCTATAAGCAAATATATATTTGTATGCTATGAGTCGGGTCCGACTCGATGGCACATAACAACAACAACAACAACAACAATATGTATATGTAAGGAGCTCTGGTGGCGTAGTATTTAAGGCATTTGACTACTAACCAGAAGGTTGGCAGTTCAAATCCACCAGCCACTCTGAGGAAGGAAGACTGGGCAATCTATTTCTGTAAAGATTTATTGCCTCAGAAACCCAAAGAGGGTTGCTATGAGTTGGAATCGACTCAATGGCAGTGAGTTTGGTTTTCTTTTGGTATATGCATATGTATATATGTACATGCATATGTATATATGTACATGCATATGTATATATGTACATGCATATGTATCCTCTTGTGCATGTTTTAGAAACACATTTCCTAAGTGTATATGGATATAATATGGAGTGAATTTTCACTTAACTCAAAGAATAATGCTATATATATGAATGAATGCTTTAGTTCCAACCCTCTTTTTAATGTATCTGGTATAATACTTAGCATATGTTTGCTGATGGAAAGTAGGAAATAAGGAATGGAGAATTTACTTCTATGTTTTGAACATAGCAGATCAGTTACTAATAACCCACTGCTGTCAAGTCCATTCTGGCTCATAGTGACCCCATGTGACAGAGTAGAACTGCCCCATAGTGTTTCCAAGGTTGTAATCTTTACAGGAGCTGACTGCCATATCTTTCCCTTGAGAATCAACTGGTGGGTTCAGCAGTTGGACACTTAACCACTGCACCACCAGGGCTCATTAGTTACTAATACCAACAACCAAACCAAACTTACAGCTATTGAGTCAAGTCTGACTCATAGTGACCCCTATTGGGTTTCTAAGGTTGTAAGTCTTTATGGAAGCAGACTCCCTCATCTTTCTTCTGCAGAGCAGCTGGAGGGTTTGAACCGCTGACCTTGTGGTTAGCAGCCAAACGCCTTAACTACTATACCACGAGAGCTCTTGGTTTGTTTTTAAAATGTCTAAGATTGAAACAATATCATTCACGTGTGTGTGTGCATATGTGTATACACACACACATGAATCTAAGTGTGACTATATAGTGGGAACCTCCATATTTCCGTTTCTAGAAAAATAACTGACACGGTAAATAAACAAGGAACAAAAATCTGTAGAATCAATAAATGCTACCATTTTATTTTATGAGCAAGACAAATGACTTTTGCCATAATGCAGCCAGTCCTTGATTATCTATGCACTCCTATAAGTCTCAGCTTCATCCACCCCACATATAATAGGCAGAAAGGACTTAGATTAACTAAGGAAAAAGAAAGCTCCTAAAGGGATTTAACACTAACTTGTTCTATCAATTTAGACAAGAGAAACTTGGCTAATGTATCTGTTGATGTACCTGCAGTAAGTGTTTCTGGAAATGAACACTAGGGAAGCTTACCCTGAGAGGTAAAGGTTGCAAGGTTTGCCAGTTTAACTAAGTGAGGTATTTTAGCTGGCCACAAAATTTTGAACTGCAAAGCCTATCATCTGTCTATATTTTAAAAGTACCCACAAACATCTGAAGGACTTTCAATTATTATAGCAAACTTCATTCCTTTCAGACACCCTCTCTAGTGCCGATTCTCTTTAATTCATTAAACATCTTTGTTTGTTTATAATTTCTTCAGCATCTGAGCAGTGACCTTTAACCTTAGGAACACCATGTAGCTGGCCTTGCATCAGGCATGGAAGGCCACTGTGGCGTAGTGCCTACGGCATTTGACTGCTAACCAGAAGGCCAGAGGTTCAAATCCACCAGCCACTCCTTGGAAGGAAGGTTGGGCAACCTACTTCCATAGTGATACCGCCTCAGAAGGGGTCGCTATGAGTCGGGTCCACACAACAACAACAACAACAACAACAGTAAACAGCAAACTCTCAGTGCGAAGTGATTGATTCAATAGCAAAGATTTACGGGCAGTAAAAAATCATGGCATATTAGAGCTAGAGGGTAGCTTAAATTCCAACTTGTTTGATCCTCTTCATTTTAAAGATCTGCAAATTGAGGTTCGGAAAGAAGTGATTTGCAAAGGAGAGGAAGCTAGAATTGAATGAAGCCCAGGACTCCAAATACCAAGTCATCCTATTTTCATCATAAAAAGCTGTCTCTAACCTATAAACTCACTACCATCGAGTCTATTTCAACTCACAGCAACCCCTCCTTGGGTTTCCAAGGCAGTCTCTCTCTGAAAGTAGATTGTCCAATCTTCCTTCCAAAGAGTGACTGGTGGGTTTGAACCGCCAGCCTTCAGGTTAGCAGCCAAATGCCTTAGGCACTATGCCATCTGTCTCTAACATATAGTCATGTTTTACTTGAATGTTCTTCTTTGGGATACTCTAAATTCCATACATGGTCTTACCAAAAAGTATCATGTAGTCACTACAATTAAAAATTAACTGTTCTTGAGTAAAATAAATTAGTGATACCTCAGGTCAGCAAAGGCAACACAACGTGGGAATAATCTAGTGCAGAATTTACAAATGCTACTGTTTCCCATAGTGTTGCACATAAACACCACATGGGCAGAGATATTGATTTCTCTTAGCCCTCTGGATAAAGGGCAAAGTTCTTCTGAGGCTGCAGAACTTCCAGGCTGGTATCTAGTTATGAGTTGCCTTGTCCATTTATCATGGTGTGACATAAAAACATCATCATTTTCTATGTGTGCAGTGATGTGACAAGGTTGGGAAGCACTTGTACTAATAGTGTCCTTGACTAGTACAGGAGATAGTGCCCACATACTATTCTCTGCATGGTCAAGTGAGTTTACCAATGAATCACAGATTCTTTAACTAGGACTTCAAGATGATTCAGATATGGTCATCATGCTGATTTTCATTTATTCTTATCTTTTCTCCATAAATTATTTCAAAAAGCAAAAGAAAGAGGCATACTTTGGTCTTACAAAAAGGTCCAAATCATCTAGCACCTGATATTTACCTTGTGCCCTGAAACTGTCATGATAGCTACTAAGGAAGACAGTGAAAGCCATGGATTATGTGTTCTTTAAAGATGGGAACTGTGTTTCACTTCTATAATCTCAGTGTCAGGCCAATGCTTAGCATGGATGTATTTGGTCATTAGTGAATGTTTGCTGGCTAGCTTAATCACTGGATAGATAGATGGATGAAAAGCAAAAGTAATGCACTTAAATCTTTGATTGGCTGATACAAGACCAGGAACTGTAAGATTTACCATCAAATTTTATGAATTTCATAGAGGGTAGGTAGTTTTTAAGCCAATGCTGTTGTTAGCTGCCATCAAGTCAGCCCCTGACTCATGGTGACTTCAAGCACAACTGAACGAAATGCTGCCTAGCCCTGGCCATCCCCATGATTGGTTGAGGACTGGACTGTTATAACCTATAGGGTTTTCTTGGCTGTTTTTGGGAAG